AAGTAACCAGGGAAGATGGTATTCTAGGCAGAAAAAGTAGCATGCACAGAGACTTGAAAGACCCTGATTTGTTCAGAGAACAGTAGGCCATTCCATACGACGAATACATGGGCAGGCAGGGCTTAGATCAAGAAAGACCTTGAATGCCAGGTAAATTGGCTTTGGATTTTACCCTCTAAGTTTTTCGAGCCATGAGAGGATTTTATGCAAGAAAGAAACATAATCAGATCTGCGTTTTTAAAAAGATCCGTTCTGGTAGCAGTGATGAATGTTCATATTAGGATATGGGAAATAAGGAAGAGAAATAACTTAGGGACATATTTAAAGGACAATTAATAAAATTTATTAACCAACAAATTGTGGGGACACCACCCACCTTCCCCTTTCCATGAAGTCAAAAATCCACATGTAATTTAAGTTGGCCTTGGCCCTCGCATATTGAGATTCCCAAGCATGGATCAAAAACAGTTTTCAATCCACGATTAGCTGAATTTGCAGATGGGAAACCCAGGGACACAAAGGCCAACTTTATATTTATTGAAAAAAAAATCCGCATATAAGTGGACCTGCACAGTTCAAAGCCATGTTGTTCAAGGGTCAACTATATTATTACATGGAGCAGTGGTTAGCTTATATAGTAATCAGATGTTAGGGTGTATAAAAATCACCAAACACTTAATGACTATATTATATATCTTTGCACAGCCCATTTTCTTGTTTTGAATTTGTTAATAATGCCTGTTATAGAGCCCTTAGTACAAGTTAAGTATGATATTGCATGTGTAAGAATGTTGTAAATTGCTCTTTCAAACTTTTCTATTTACAAATCATCTATGTAGCAGAAAATCCCAAACAGTTCTATACAGCAGGCATTTTACTTGTGCCTGTCCACTGTAACAAAATATCCCTAACTTCAGCCATTGTAGTGTTCACCCCATAAAAGCAGAGGTCTTTAGAGGGGAAAAGAATCATATGTAATGTCTTAAATAGACCAGTGCTGTTACTTTATAGATGAGGATCCAGAGGTTTGAACTGGGAACGGAGGTTAAATGATTTGTTCAAAGTCATACAGCTAATTAATGGCAAGGCCAGATATGACTGAATGTCACCCCACTCTATGAAGCCCTCTGCCCCTACATTATAACATACTTCTTTTTTTAATTCTCTACTATTTGAACTTTAGTCTTTCTCTTTTACAGCAAAGAACAAAGTAGATGATTAAAGCTTTGCTGATCAGGGCAAAGGAAGAGGTGTTTAATTTGAGCAATTCTAGGGGTTCAGTTGTAAAATCCTTGAAGACATTTTTGAACTATCTCCTTCTCTTTTATTCTCAAACCACCAGGCAGATGCCAATCTAGTCTAGAACCCCAGCTGTAGTAGAGAGATAAGCCGGCAGCAGGGTAACTAGTACTGCTACATATTTCTTTCAATGATCCCCATTTATAATTGAAGAGCTCTCCAAAACATCAATATTAGAAGACTGTAGTTTGAGACAGGCCTTGAGTGGTTCACAGACAGGCTTGGAAAAACAACTGTTATGGAAGGCTTATTTCTACGACAAGGACAGAGATGCTACTACTTCCCACACTATACTTAAGTATTTATATCGCCATCTCCTTTTTCTAAGCTTCCCAGAGCAGGCCAAATCTTTCAGTCCCTATCACAGGGAATAATGGCTAGCATGCAGTTCGGATCCTATATATGGTTGTTGAATGAATGAGTGAAATAATTTTATCCATAACTCTCTTATTAGTTTACTCCTTAACAGAAAAAAAAAATCTCTAATAAATTGACTTCCACATGTTATTTTTTGACCCTATCTTAGACCCTCAATCTCCATCCCTTCTGCCTAGACTTCCACTAAGTTAATTCCACTAAACTAATTTTGCCTTTCCTTGTAACTTTTCATGATATATAACACTCTGCAGTTGACTCGTTAAGGGAACGGTTTACCATATTCTTTATTTTGTGAACTGATCCTGTAACAAAATATATAATGTAACAAATATATTTGGAAAGAAAACCTAATCAAAGTCAGAAAACTTTGTAGGTAGATTTTACTAAACATTAACATACATGCATAAGACACGTTTCTTGATAGAAAAAGGAATATTTTTCTCTTAAGAGTCTCTTCTTCCATTTTCTAGAGCTCATGCTTTTTTCACTACCTTTAAAAGGGGGGACAAACTGATTTGCTGATTTGATGTCAACTTGTTCTGTTTCTTTTTTCATATTTTAAGAAACTTTCTTTTAAGTTTTTCTTGTTACCATGTGTATTTTTGTTATATTTGAACTGGAAGCTCTTAAGAACAAGGATTGCCCTCTATATATAGAGTGATGTTTATTTTTAATGCTCAGTAGTTTTTAACCCTTTTCCTTTTTTTCAGAGAAGCTGCAATAGTCATAGGATAATGCTCGAAAAGGCAAATCATGATATAAGAAATCGAAGAATCTCATAGGATGAAAATATTAAAAATGCAATAAAAAGCAGAGGTTAGATATGAGTTTAGGTCTGAGTCAGTTATTGAAGAAGTATAGGGTGATAAAAAGGGGATATGTTATTTGGAAATAACTCTGTTGGGAGGTCAAGGCATGGGAAGAAAATGAAATTCTATAACCATTCTAGTACTGACTCAAAGTTGGGGATGATTGGGTGATGGGGAACACAGGATTCCTGACCTTCCACAGTGAAGCAGACACATATGTCCACATAAGTGGAAGGTAAAGCAGATCAGGATAAGGCAGTAAGGTTATAGAAAAAAGGCATTATAGAAAAATTTTAAGAAAAATACAGTTTCCCTCATTAAGAGTGAAAATTATCCAGAGTACCTGAGAATCTAATGTACGAAGCTGCTTTTATTAGCTCCTAGAAACCACGAGGACTATTCTTTCTCTAAATCAGAAGCATGCCTCATTTTGTACTAAATTTTTTACTTACTGCTTTTTCCAAATTTTGGGACATATTATAGAATTGTACTTAAGATTTTAGATTTGACCCTTTAAGCACAGTGTATGCAATTTCTTAAGATACATGTTTTTATTAAGCGAATCTCTTATCACTTTTTGAAATATTCCTTACACTAATGAATCTTATAAAATCAAAGATTCACAGGTAAAAAGAATATAAGAAAAAAATATGACCAATGTAAAGACTTCTCAGCAATACAGTCAAAAAGTCAAACGTTATAGCTGGACTGAGGTATTAGATTTCTAAGAGCGTTATGATATTTAAAAGATTTGCTTTAGATTTTTAAAATTTGTAACCGTCGCATAAAATATAGTTGATAACTCTTGATTTTCTTGCTGTTATAGCCAGTGACCAATGATGGTAATGTGGAACATTTCCTGCTAGTTATTCATTGATTAAAAAAAAAAAGTCATTTTTTTCAGAGACTGAGCAGGAGATAAGATGTCAAGAAGTAATAAGTAGTGAAATGAAAGAGGAGAATGCAAAAGAACCGAGGAGAGAAAACATTAAAGTGACGTTATTTTTTTCCCCTGTGTATGCAGATAGACAGGAAAATTATAGCAGTAATTGCAGACTCCTTTTCACCAAAGACAGAATGGCCTTGGAGAATTAGAGTAGGAGAGAAAAAGTCCATAAAACTGCATTCTCATCCAGGCCCCACCTGACTTGCTGGGTATGGCTCTGGCAAGGTCATTTACCCTTTCTATGCCTTAGTTTCCTTAAATATTGAAAAAGATTATTTGCCTCTTTGAGCTACTGGGAAGTTGAATGAGATAAATGCTTAAGAAGCACCCAAAACTGGCAAGAGAAAGGTGCTATAAGAATACCACGTACAGTAGTACTATTATTATTGAACTGTGTATCCTGTTGGAATGAGTCATCTTACTGCAAAGATGCATAAGCAATTTCAAGTGTGGCTGAGGACCAGACACAATGGCAAGAGGCAAGTACTCTTAGGTGGTGTTAAGAAAGACTTCAGTTGCAGTGAAATCTGACCTTCTCTTGTTCAAAGAACAAAAAAGGTGGAAGGGGTGGGGACCCGGATAAACAAGACTTTTAAATTAAGTATAATCATGTGGTTATGCAAACAGACTTTTAAAATAGTAGAGCCAATTTGCATCCAGGATTTGCCACTTGCTACTAAAACCTCGTTTTTCCCATCTGGAAAATGGGGATTATAATCTGTAATTATAGCATCTATAGGATTGTTGTGGGGATTTAAAACGTACACCATTTCAAGGACTTTGTAAAGTTAGCTATTATGTAATTTAGGGGAGATAGAGGAAAGCAGAAATGCAGATTGACGATAAATGAATCTTTAAAAAAGATGTAAGAGAAAAGGCAAGTTTTTATTTTATAAAACATCATATGATTTAAGGGGCCTAGGAAGAGGAAAATTTGTTTTGTCAAGTCTGAATTCATTCATTTTTCACCGGTCCATGGTAACTAGTCAAATCTTTTGATATCTGGCACACAAAAACACAAGCAGGAAAAGCCCTCCGTGTGCTTTAATAAAAACAGTTTTTATTTTAAAGATATATATATATATATATACACATATATATATATATAACATTTGAAAAAATCTCTCGGCTATCCAATGCATCTTATAAAACAAAGCTCAGATGCTGTGTTTTTGTTGTTTGAAAGAGCAAGCAGTCAGGGGCGCGGGGATTACGCGCTCCTTGAATCGCGCTCTGAGCTGGAAAGCCTTGGGGCAAAGCCCTAGGGTCAGAGCGTGTTTTTTATCGATCCCGGAACCTTCGCGGGAGCGCGGGGAGAGAGGGGGCGGGAGCGCCGGAGGGGCGTGAGGGAGGGGTCTGGCCGCAGAGCGCAGCGCCGCTCGCCCATCCCCCCAGCGCGCGGCTGG